CTGCTGAGAACGTAGTCAGCATCTGCTGTATGCCTTGTATCATCTCTCAAGAATAGCATGGGGTTTTTCTTTTGATTCTGGTTGTTATGTATGTGAATACATAATTGAGTGAGCTGTTTTGTTGAACTGAGAAGTAGTATATGATTTAGGAGCAGCAATGTACATAAAGATGGTGCCAGCAGTGAACACTTGGAGTGTTGAAAAATATTTTCCTTCAGAATGGAGGAGCTTATAAGAAACAAAAGAGAAGAAACAAAAAACACATGAAGGGCAAGCAGTTTCGTTTTGCTGCAGTTCTTTGGCACGCTTCTCTCCAAAAAGTGAAAGGAAAGAACACAGCACTCCACTGTAAGCAGGCACAAATCCTAGCCCAGGAATATGTCCCTCCAAGCAACAGAGAAAGGATGTTCTTCTAGAGAGAGAAAGGTATTACTTTTAAAATAGGTAGAGACAAACACAACCATAATGTCTACAAAATAGCCTGCAAACTAGTCCTTAGAGCTGTAAAAGTGCACAAGGCAATATGCTTCATCCAGTAATTACAAGCGTTGGACAGCTTGCTAGTCCTTTTGAATATGCATACTATTTGGTATGACCTAACTACAAGGCATGAAACCCACAGTGACTGTCAGAGCAAAGAACAGTTACTAATTGGATTATTTTGTTTATTCTTTCAGCAAAAAGATGCGTTGTGATGTGAGGTATAATCAACAATGCCGAAATGATAAAAGACCTCTCTACAACTGCCCTCTACAGCTACCTAAAAGGAGGCTGTAGTGAGGCTGGTGCTGGTCTCTTCTCTCTAATTACTAATGACAGGACAAGGGGAAATGGCCTCAAGTTGCGTCAGGGTAAGTTTAAATTGGATATTCAGGGGAAGTTCTTTAGTGAACAAGTGGTGAGGCACTGGAACAGGCTGCCCAGGGAGGTGGTGGAGTCACCAACCCTGGAGGTGTTTAAAAAAAAAAGTAGATCTAGCACTTGAGGCTGTGGTGTAGTGGTTAGGTATGCTGGGATGAAGGTTTGACTAGATGATCTTCAGAGGTCCCTTCCAACCCCTGACATTCTGTGATTCTGTGATTCCAGCAGCCTGAGTGACGTGTGACTTGGCTGAAAATTTAAGCGTGTAACAGAAGTAAGAAGGAATTTAAAATATTCAGGCAATATATCAGAGCCCAGTCATATCTAGA